TCTAGAAATTAAGCCGTTGTCAGTCTCATGTTTTGCAAATATTTTCTCCCTTTCCATAGGTTGTCTTTTTGTTTTGTTTATGGTTTCCTTTGCTATGCAAAAGCTTATAAGTTTAATTAGGTTCCATTGTTTGTTTTTGCTTTTATTTCTATTGCCTGGGTAGATTGCCCTAGGAAAACAAAGCTAAGATTTATGTCAGATAATGTTTTGTCTATGTTTTCTTCTAAGAGGTTTATTGTGTCTTATCTTATGTTTAAGTTTAAGTCTTTAAGTCATTTTGAGTTTATTTTTGGGTTTGATGTGAGGGAGTATTCTAACTTCATTGATTTATATGTAGCTGTTCAGTTTTCCCAGCACTATTTGCTGAAGAGACTGTCTTTACTCCATTGTATATTCCTGCCTCCTTTGTCAAAGATTAATTGACCAATACTTTTTTTTTTAATGGAGGTACTGGGGATTGAACCCAGGACCTCATACATGTTAAGCACACAGTCTACCACTGAGCTATATCCTCCCCTCTAATGATTATGAAATTTTAAAAAAATACAAAATTTTGTTGTAATGATACAGAACTAAAATTTAAAACAACAACAATAGTAAAATGCAGTTAAAACAAGCTAAAATCTTTGTTTTGTTTAGAGGAAGATACAAGGAGAGACAGAATAACTTTAGACTTTGTAAAAAAGATATATATATAAATATTGAATACTAAAAGATAACTTCTGAAAGAATAGAGAATATAATCTATATCTTTGAAACCAGATTTTAAAAGGGAGAAAAATATCAATTCAATAAAAATTTCACATGATAGTACTGTGAAAAGATTGACAATTTCCCTCTGCAAAAAAATGAATATAAAGCCGGATGAAATTGTCAAAAATAACAATTTAAGGGTACTGGAAATAAACCAAAGGTATACAACAAATTGAGAAATATTTATTTGTGAAAGATTATGAGAGCTTTGTGTAATAGCAGCAAGAGTCTTTGGCTTTCTTGCTTGAGGCTGTTCTCTTGTTCCCTGCCCCACCCCCAGCTCATTAGACAAAATTGTAGCTTTACCAGTCTGGGGCTAGCAGTGAAAACCAGCCGCTTTGCTGCCAAAGCAGAGTGAGGTTGAGGGAGGTAATTTATTTGGGATGAAGTAGGGTACAAAATCCCATAGTTTTGCCAGCAAATGGTGGGGTGTTGTGGGGAAACAGGAGAAAACCCACAGCTTTGCCAGTGTAAGGCTGCTGTCCTATTTGGCATGATGAATAGGCCAGGCATAAATTTAACAAGGAGATTCTGAACATGAGAGCCACAAAAGGCCTGAGTTAACTCTCCACACACATGTGGTTGACTGAGGAAACACACATGCCTGGGAGAGACTTCAGAGAATCTGGTATAAGTGAAAGCCAGGGAATTCTGGAATTGGTTGCAACTTTGGATAGATTCTCCAGCCCACACACAGATCAAAAGGCAGAGGGTGGAAGTTTTATAGGCTTGAAATGTTTGAGAATAACTTCTATACCAATCTTTGGCTGACCACTGAGCTACATAGACATGGGGTGACCCCAGGAGGCCAGGTTGAAAAAATTAAAATTAGAATAATAAGTTGAGTAGACACAACAATTACTGCACACTATGGAAGACAGAGATTCCACAGTACAAGTGCAGACAAATTACAAAAAAGAGAAAAACTCAGAAAAACAAAAAGAATCAAGTCATGCAAAATAGTACCTAAAATGTCCAATTGTTAACCAAAAGTTACTAGACCTGTAAAATACAAGAAAGTATGATCCATGGCCAGGGAATAAAGCAGCCAATACAAACTGTCTCTGAATGGGCCAAGATGTAAGACTTAGCAGAGAAAACTTCAAAGCAGCTATTATAAATATATTCAGATAATTAAGGGTAAATACACTGATACCAAGTCAACAAATAGGGAATCTCAATGGAGGAATCAATACTATAAAAAAAGAACTAAATGGAAACTCTAGAATTGAAAAATAGAGAAACTGCAATGAAAAATTCACTAGATGGGCTCAACAACAGATTTACGAGGAGAGAAGAAAGAATGTACATGAAGATAGAGCAAATAAAAGTATTCTAAAGCATAGAGAGAAAAGAAGATTGAAAAGAAACAAACAGAGCTTCAGAAACCTCTGGGACAAAGTGAATTGTTCCAACATATGTGTAATGGGACCCCAAGAAGGAGAACGAGAGAAGAGCAGCAAATTATTTGAAGGAATAATAACCAGAAACTTCCCAAATCTGTTAAAAAGTATTAACCTAGAAATCCAAGAAGCTCAATCAGTTCTAAACAGAAAACTACGAAAAGGACCACCTCTAAACATTTTATAGTTAAATGGAGAAAAGACAAGGGCGAAGCAGCAAAATGCTGAAAGCAGCAAAAATGACTCATTACATACGGGGGAAACAAAAACACAATCAATGGCTGACTTCTCATGAGAAATAACACGGGCCAGAAAGTGGTGAAATGACAGATTCAAGAGCAAACAGAAACTGCCAGCAAAGAATTCAGTTTCTAGGAAAACCATTCTTAAAGCTTCTGTATCCAGCAAAACCATCCTTCAAGCTTCTGTATCCAGCAAAACCATCCTTCCAACTGAAGGTGAAATAAAAACATTACTATATAAACAAAAACTGAGATGATTCATTGTTAGGAGACCTGCCCTAAAAGAAACACTAAAGGAAGTCCTCCTCTGTGTTGAAAGGGAATGAGGTCAGACTGTAACACAGATCTAATTGTGTGTTTATTTAAAGCAATATTTATAACCCTGCATTGTTGAGTTTACATGGATATAATATATGTGACAATAGAAGCACAAAGCAAGGCAGAAGAAATGAAGTTTTGCTGTAGCAAAGTTGCATTTTTTTTGCCAGAAGTAAGTCAGCATTAACATAAAATAGTGATAAGTTAAAGATGCATCTTGTAACATAAACTTTTTTAAAAGTCAAAAGAATAAAAAATATTTGCTTAACACAAAGAAGGCATTTAAGGAGAAAAGAGAGAAACAACAGAAAAATGAGACAAATAGAAACAAAAAGCAAAATGACAAAAGTAATTTCAACCATATCATTCATACAGTAAATGTGAGTGAATTAAATACTTTCATAAAAGAGCAGAGATCATCAGAATGAATTTTTAAAAAGAAATCTCAACTATATACTGTCTACAAGATACACTATAGATGCCAAGATGCAATATAGTGAAAGTAAAAGGATGGAAAAATGTATACTATGCAAATAGTAACCATAAATATCTATATTAATATCAGAGAAAATAAACTTTAGATGAGATTAAAGACAAAGAAGGACATTTCCTAATGATAAAAGAGTTAATACATCAGGAATATATAATAATTATAAATATTTATGTACTTAACAAGAGAACCCCAAAGTACATGAAACAAAAACTGACAGAATCAAAAACAGAAATAGACAATACAAAATAATTATAGTTGGAGGTGTCAATACTCCTCTGTCAGTAATTGATGCAGTTAGAAAATCAGTAAGAATAGAAGATTTGAGTAATGCTACCAGTGAACTTGAACTAACACATACATGGAAGATTGCCTAACAACTGGCAGAATACATATTCTTTCCAAGTGCACATGGAACATTTTCCACCATAGACTCTATGCCAGGCTATTAAAGTTTCAGTAAACTTAAAAGAATCTAAATCGTACAAAGTATGCTTTCTGACCATAATAAAATTATATTAGAAATCAACAACAGAAAAATATCTTTAAAACTCTTAAGTATTAGGAAATTAAAGAGGATATTTCCAAATAATTCTGGGTCAAAGAAGAAGTCACAAGGGAAATAATTTAAATACCTAAACCAAATAAAAATGAAATCACAATTTATTCTAATAAATAGGATGCTGCTAAAACAGGGCTTAGAGGGAGATTTATACCTTTAATGTTTATTACAAAGGAAAAAAGATCTAAAGTCAGTAACCAAAAAAGTCAACCCTAAAGTAAGTAAAAAGATCAGAGACTAAATTAATAAAACTAAAAATTGAAAGACAATAGGGAAAATGAGTCAAATCAAAAGTCAGTTCTTTGCTAGAATCAGTAAAATTGATAAACTTTTGGCTATACTGACAAAGAAAAAAGTAGAGAAGACATACATTATTAAAATCAGGGATGAAATTACACACCCTACAGAAATTAAAAGGATTACAATGAAGTATTATTAATGACTTTATGCCAGTAATTAAACAAAGTAGATGAATTGTCTAGATTCCTAGAAAGACACAGATGACCAATTTAAGAAGTCTTGAAAATAAAAAAGCATGGTTAACAGAAGAACCAAATGAAATATTAGAAACAAGTCCAAGTGTATCAGGAAGAATAATAATTGTAAGTGGATTAAACAAATTTATTAAAAGACAAAATGTCAGGTTTAATTTTTAAAAATAAAAATCCACCTGTATGTTGTTTGTAGGAGTCATGCCTCAACAAAATAATAGAAAACAGTTGAACGTAAAGGGACCAAAGAAGATGCACTGCAAATATACTAATCAAAAGCAAGCTGGCATGCAAATATTGATATCATATAAGGTAGACTTTGAGATGAAGAATTTAGTAGTGGTAAGAAGATCAATGCACAATAATAAAAGGAAAAGTCTACCAGATACAACAATTATAAACTTATATGTACTTTGTGCTTACTTAGGAAATCTTGTACTATTTCTGTATTCTAAAGCTTTTTTCTAAATTTTCTTCTAATAATTCTGTTTTATTTTCATAACCAAGGCTTTAATATATTGAGAGCTATTTTTTAATTTGAGAAGAAAGAATTAAGTTGATTACTTCTAATATTAAAAAAATTAATGCCATTAATTAATTAACACCATACTACACTGTCTTAATGAATCTAACTTAGTGTCTTTTGTTTAACTGGCAATGACATAGATTAGAGTATGTTTTAAATGTTTATTGAAGTTATTGAGTAATTGTGTGTTCTCTGTTTTTATTTTATTTTAAAAGTAAATTTGGGACCATTCTCCATTTAAAGGAAACAAGTCTCCTGAGAGCATGACTGATTCCAGGACTGGGCAGAGAAGGTTCAGGTCAAACCCAGAACATCTTGTTATCTTACAGAAAAAGGTAATGCTCAAAAATAATGGAACATGTCAAAAGACCATGGGAGCCTAATCTGGGAGAATATGTACACCAAATAAATAATGATATTAACATATTATACCCCCGATGATTAAAACAATAATGTAAATAAAAGCATCAATAGATAAATGGGTGATAGACAATCACTATTATCACTATTTGGCAAGTATCACAGTAATAACTAATTCAAGCAAGAATTATCAATGGATGCAAAAACTGGCAGGTGAAACTTTGATGAGGAACAGGATATTTACATGGCCCCAAAGTATCTCCCCACAGAATACTTATTAACTACAAAGGAAGAATTGCAAAGGGGAAAATAGTAACTTTACAGTGGAGAATCCTGGCAAACACCATCTTATATATTAAGTGATCAGTGTTAGCATCACCAGTAATGGAAAAACTGACATCTGTGCTTCTTGATGTGATGCACAGCAAGAGACACAGCATCACTTATCTGATGATGCTGCCAAAGATGCAAAATCTGAATTTTGGGAAGGGAGGGAACATCAGATAAACCTGAACTGAAGGACATCTACAAAATAATTGGCCTATACTCTTCAAAAACATCACTGTCATGAAGGACTAAAAAAGACTGAGAAACTGTTCCAGATTGAAGGAGAGTAAAGATACGATAATGCAATGTGTAATCCTGGACTGGATCCTTAAAAATTACTTTTCTATTTCTGGATAAGATATTATTAAGATAATGAGCAATGTTGAATAATATCTGTTGATTAGAAAATAATATTATCTCACTGTTAATCTCGTGATTTTGACAGTTGTATGGTAGCTGGGTAAAAGCATATCCTTGCTCTTAGGAATTACACACTGACGTATTTAGGGGTAAAAGGGCAGCATGTCTGCAACTTACTCTAAAATTTATACATAAAAGCAAGTGTGGCAAGTGTTAAAATTTGGGGAATTTGGCTGAAGAGGGCCCAGGAGTTCTTTGTATAACTTTTGAAACTTTTCAGTAAGTTTGGAATTATTACAAAATGAAATGTTATGCAAACCTAGTGTGTTCTCTTCCCTGAACGTTATTACCTTTTAAAAAATGTGAGCCCTAGTTGTTTGTTTTTTAAACCATTCTTTGGGACCTTGATAGTACTTATTCCATATATATTTTTGGCATCCTCTTTACGTTAGCATCTAAGGACATAGAGGAGAACTAAAAAAAAAAATTTAGCCTTGCCCACGTGAATTTTATAATCTAGTAGGGAAGACAACTCTGTACAAATAATTGCATAAATGCATTTATTATGTGATCCATTCTGGCAACAACACTTATACTTCACAAAGTCTCACTTATGTGCAGACTGCATCACATTCCTTCCTTATGAAAATGCAGATGCAATCTTTTTCTTTCTGAATGTCCTTTCTGTCCCACAGTAGAGCTACAACCATGGGAAGCCATCAGGAGTCCCCTCGACTGACTTGTTCTTTCACTGTGTTTCTGTTGGAGGGATAGGAATTAAAGAGGGCAATGGTGGTGGTTGTTATTTTCTAAGCTAAAGTATTTTCCATCTTGAAAAGCAATAAAGTCTGCTGTAGAAGCAGGGCACTTTTTCAAACCTCCTGTTCATTACAGAGATATGCATCTAAGGAACTTCCAGCCATGTTCTGGGTGATTTTTTTTTTTTGAAGTTCCAACAAAAAGAGTTTGTTACAGAGCTCACAAGGGCAGTTCTGAAGGCTCCATTAATTCTAATAATAATTTCCAATTAATTCATTAGTCACTTCCTGATATTCTGAAATCAAGAGTTTTGAAAGCTGTTACCTTTAACCTTGGTGAAATTTAAAATGCTATGGTTTTAACTGATTCAATTTAAGTTAACCTTTTAGCCGTTTATAAAAATGCAAAACAGAAGTCTGGGCTCAGGTCTGAGATGGGTAATTTGCAATAATACTCTTCATTCGTGCTGTCTTTGGAATGATGAGTCCTGACACCCCCAGGGGATGTTAAGGATCTGGTGATAAATAGAATTAGCCCAGGTGCTTCTCCTGGCTGGGGGCCTGAGGCATGACAACAGAGAGGATATCAATAAGGCCATAATGGGAACACATCCAAAATTCTCCAGCTCAACCTGTCCAGTGTAATTATAGCTCCCTGGTGGAGAGGTGGGGAAGGAGGGATAAGGAGATGGGGGTTGGAAAGGAGAGGTTTTCAGGAACTTCCCTTCTGCTGTCACTGATCTTGTTAACTGCTGTGGTCATCAGTGGTCCCCTGCCCTGTGTCTGGGGTACATCTACTCTCTGCTCAGACATGGCCCCCTGCCATGGCTGTTGCACCCTCAGAGCTATTCTGGAGGCAGCCGGTGATGCCACCCCCTTGCCCCTGTCAGCCACTGCTCATAGTTTTTAGCTTTCAAATGCAGGTCTCTCCATTTTTAGAAAATTGGACACGGAAATACCTCAGCCCACAGGCTAATAAATTGAGAAATAAGGCTGTGTTCTATAAAAAGATTTCCCAGAAAATCCTTCTGAAAACTAAGCTTTCCTGATAAGCAGAGGCAGATTTACTGTGACTCAGACAAAGCTCGTGCTACAAGGTCCCTAGTTTGCAGAGTTTCTACTAAGGCCCTGGGAGGCTCCCCAACAATGTGTTTATATGGTCGTATGTTTGTTACAGATTTGCAAAGACAGTAATTTAACTGCAGTTGGTTAAGGCTATTGTCTCTTTATGTGGCAATGCCCCTACACCCCCATACCACTTTCCCCTGTGCTGGTGGTTTTGGGGTATCTAATAGCAACATGAGGATCCAGGTAAAGAAAAAGTGAGTTGGATCTAAACTCATTTAGTCTGGGTGTAGTGGGACATACTTATGTGGCTCAAATGCACTTTGGTGTATAGATTAGATAGTGCTAGACACCCTGCTGTGGGAATGGCTCTCAGACAAATCCCTGCCAGCCACGTGCTGACCCCTCAGACTCATGACAGGTAGGGGCGATGCTCACAGGTACGTGCATAATGGAGGAGGGATGTGTCAGAAGGAAGACTGGCTGGAAGAGGCTTTCCCCTCAACAAGGGCCTTGGCCCAGCAAGGCTCACTTTCCCCACCAACGAAAGCTCTGGGCTTCTGTGTGTGGAGTTCTGGAAGCTTCTTTGTGCTCAAGGAGGCAGGGAAGTCCTTTGCGTGCAGTGAACACTGCCACTCCTTCACTGGAACGTGGTGAAATTAATGCTGCCTCCGAGTCCCAGCTCTCAGCAGAGTCTCTGTGCTGGGCTGGTGACGACCACCACTCCCCTTCTCGAGGCTGTAGTAGACCCGCTTCTGAAAAACTGTGTCTTTTTGTTTTTTGGGTTTTTTAAAATATGTTTTTATTGAAATATAGTCAGTTTACAATGCTGTGTCAGTTTCTGGTGAACAGCACAATGCTTCAGTCTCATAGAAACATACATACATTCATTCCAATATTCTGCTTCACCATAGGTTACTACAAGATATTGAATATGGTTCCCTGTGCTGTACAGTGTAAACCTGCTGTTTGTCTATTTTATGAAAAACTGTGTTTTTGTAAGTGAAATATTTAAATATCTTGGAAGATTTCATTATTAAGAAGGATTTCAAGGAGAATCTTCATATAAAATGGATACTTGGCTCCAAATAATTCTGTTCCAAGTTTTAGGGTTACAAATAATAGCTAATAGACTTTGGACACTTGCTTCATGCCAGGCACTGTGTTAACTGTGTTTAACATACATCGTTTAATCTTCATATTAACCCAGTGGGAGGGTCAGTTAAGGCTTGTTGAGTAACTTGCCGAGGGCTTTCGTGTTCTAAAGTGGTAGAAGCAGACTTCGAAAGTTATGTTCTTTGAGATTTAGGGATTGCTTCTTATTTAATATAATTTTTAAAAATTATGGTTTGACACAACATTGTAAAATGACTATAACTCAATTAAAAAATGTTTATATATAAATAAATAAATAAATACAAATCAAGACATGGAAGCAAAGAAAAAAATTATGTAAAACATGAACATGTTTCTAGAGTCAAATCTATAAAAATATTATCTCTATCCTTCTATCCTCCATGCTATTTCATCCTTCTCCCACAGGTAACCCCCTCTTTGTGGTTTATCCTTCCAAAATTTGTATACATATGTGTGAGTGTACATATATACACACACATATATGAAATATTCCCATATATACATATATAGTAAATATGTACATATATATCTTCTCATATATATGTGGATCTTCTCATATACATATATATGTTTACATGTATATGAGAATATTTAAATGGTAGCATCCTCTACATACTTTTCTCCACTTGGCTAAATTTGAAGAAAATAAAACCAAATAATGCACCTGAACCTAATTGTGTAGAGTGGAAGGCATAACCATATAGAAACTATTCCAAAGTGACTTAAAAACATAGTTATTTGACTGCCTTAATTACTTTGGAGGACACCAGGGAACCATCTGATTATTTTGAAAACTGGTAAATTAAAGAATCAAAAATTTATCATAACATTTTCAAAAGAAATGTACTTCAGATATTTAAATATGTATTAATTGCACAAACTGTTGATGAGAATTTTCTCTTAATAGAACTATTTCAGCTACTATAAAAATAAATGATGGAATCAAAGGATAACCTCTTTGCAACGTTTGCAACCTCTAATGAATTATTCTGCGCAGACAATGATCATCAACAGTTACTCACATCATAAAAAGGAGACAACTAGATATTACAGACCTCACAGCAGAAGCACATACCACCACCTATAAAGTAGTCTTGCCACCAACAAAAAATCAGTCAATCAATCAAGCCCGATTTTGATCAAGCCTCCTTATCTAACTCTCAGTTACAGAAAGAAGGGAAAGAGAACATGTTAAAGGACATGATGAAGATGCAATCAGCAAACGAGGTCTTGGAGCGTTCTACGGGAAAAAAACCTAGGGTTCTTTGACAAATAAATGGCAAGGAATAAAAAAAGAGAGAGAGATGAAAAGAAGAGCCCATAAATTAAAGGAAACTCAAGAGACAATCAGTTTTAGTGTATGTTATGTGGGTTCTGATTCTAATAAACAAATGGTCAAAAAATATTTCTAGGACTATAGGGGAACTCATGGCAATTACTGAATGGATATTTGATGAAATTAATACCTTATTGCTCATTTTTTGATGTGTTGATATTGTAGGTTTTTTATTCTTTACAATTTTAGACATACATTTTGAAATATTTATAGGGGAAAAAATATTATAATATCTGGGATTTGCTCCAAAGTAATTCAGTGGAAGGAGAGTGGCTGGGAAAACAGATGAAATAACATTTGTCTTGTATTGGTTTATGTGATCAGAGTGATGGGTACATAAGTTTGTTAAACTATTCTCCCTACTTTTGTATATGTTTGAAAGCCTCCATGCAACAAAAATTTTTAAAACCTTAAAAATATCTCTTCTCAACACTGTATTGATTCCATCTATCATGTGTATATCTACAAATATAACTTGGTTAATTTCCTCTCAGTTATGAAAAGTAAAATTTATCAATATTTCTGAGTAGTATATTAAAATCATTTCTTACATATTGTAACAACTCTCCTCCCTTCTCTCTATTTTGTTTCATTGAGCATGATTTGCCGTCTTTCCAATTCAAATGTCACCAATTTTCCCAACTAAATCAGCCAAGAAAGCTGAGAGAGTCCTGAACAGATTCTCAACTCCTGAATCTTGGATAGGTGCTGCTAAGCTGAAAATATTTGGTGATAATAGATACCAGAAGTTTTGCTCTACTCCTGTTAAAGGTGTTCTTCTTAGAGAGGCTTAACAATAATTATTTAACTGAGTGAAAATGGTCCTGTAAGAACTCTGGTGGCTGTGGAGATGGGCCACCCAGATCCCCTTCCAGGAAGTGTTCATTGCCCCTGATGGTGGAAGTACTTTTCTGCAGACAGCTGTTGACTCCTTCAAGGATTGCTTCAGTTGTAGAGAGTTGCCTCCCCCAAGATTATTCCCTTGCAGGGACAGCCCACATCCACTTTAGATTAGCCTGACTATTTTGAACCAATGTAGGACAACTCTGACAGGCCTGTTCAGCCCTAGAGTTCCCAGTGGGTGTCAGCTGGGACAACTGAGCCTGCAACACACTGGCCCTGATTTTCTGTCCACTCCTGTTTCCTTTCTTTCCCTTCCACAGGTGTTGACCCCAAGGGCGCCCTCAGTACACATCCACACACTACGTTCTGTCTTGCACCCTTCTCCCTGAAGAAACAAAATGGCAACAGGTAATGACACATTGAAATTCCTGGCTTTACCAGCAATTGAGCTACTTCATTAAGGCCTTACTCATTTGTGTCTTTGACTAACAGCACAAAACACTGAGATTCCTCTTGAAAGCATTTCAAATGGCCTATACTTAAAAAGAATTTGACTCTCCTTTTTTGGTGGTCTGTGGATATGAGCAAAATAGTTTGTCCTGAGCATTAAGTAGCAGCTGGATCCATGTCACAGGTCCTAGACCTGGAAAGTGATCCCAGAGCAGAGTGAATCTTTCCTGGTTCTCTTCCTTGCAACTGTTTTCGCCTTCAGGAGACAGATATCAACCTTGGCAGGTGCTTCATTCAGCAGCTTGTGGATGTGGACCCCACAACACCACTGATGTAGCAATCCCTCTATGGGTGGTTCACCCTTAGGAGGAATTCTAGACTTCACATATACATTTATATATTATTCCACATTGCCCCAAATTTCACATTGAGTGACTCAAAGTGCAAATCATTGCAAGACTTATTGCAACTGCCATATTTTTCCTAAAACTGAGTTGTGAGACACTCCAGGAATCTGGGTTGTTAGCAGCCAAGGATGTGAAATGCCATAGCTGGTCTGTTGAGTGTAGAGTGTCTACTGGTTTAATTTTAGTTAAGATGAAGATGTCTTTTGTGGCCTTGTTCATTATTGTGGCCCCTTTTCACATAAGATCTTGTATTCCTCAACCATGAATTCAATTAATAAAGTTTCCAAGATCAGAGAAGAAATAATGTATTAATCTTAACCATTCTACTCATTTGCAGATGGTCTCAGATTTGATCTTTATATTAGACCCAATGGGTCATTTTTTCAACAGCACCTTCCAGTAGGTCTACTTCACATGGTTTATTTAATCCTCACATGAAAGGATTAAATAAGGTACTGCAAGTAATGCCCTTGTTACAGAGCCTGGCACGTAGTGAGTGCTCAGTAAATACTGACTGGAAGCCGAATGCACCACGGTTAAACCACCCTGGTGTTGGAGTGCTTGAGGGTGAATGCCAGCTCTCCCACTCACTGTCTTTATGACTGTGGGCAAATAAGTTGACCTCTCTGTGCTTCAGTGGTCTCATCTGAAAAACAGAGAAAATGATAGTCCCACCTCAGAAGGTTGTTGTAAGGATCCAAACGTTTCTGTCAGTGGACATTAGAAATCATATGTTTGCATAAGTTAAAATGCAGATCACTCAAAATGTGCCTAAGCATTATTGAAATACTCACTTTTAGTATTAGGAGCAATTCTGGGGTAAAAAAAATAACGTGATTAAAATGGCTTTATCAGAATATACACACAAAGAATTTAAGGTATTTATAATTCATGTTGTACTAATTTTTATTGTTGCTGTTATATACAGTTAACACTTACCTGTTGCTTACCATGTCCCAGGCACTCTGCTGAGCACTTCCTAAGCATCGCCTCATGTAATCCTGTCAACTTTCCCCATAACGGATGAGGAAACTCAGACACAGAGGACATAAGTGATCTGGCCAAGGATCAGCAGACTTGAACCACTCCAGACCTCTTACATCACTTTATTCTACATCTTACAATAGTCTGAAACTGTTAGTAACAAAAACGCATGTACAATAGAATGCTGAAAATAAATAAAGCCTCTGGGAAGGGGGTCAATAATTGAGACTGGGACCTGGGGTAAAATAGTTACTGCATCAAGCATTAGTTTAGAGCTAAGCTTCCCAGCAACCAAGGCAAAACAGAATACACAATATGTCATACAGTATCTGATTTTTAAAAAAACAAGCCATGTTCTTCCTCCCCTCACACTGAACCTGGTGTCTACTCATTTAATCATCAATAAAATCTAGTAAACATCTACGTTTGCCAGACACTTTACGGTCCTTCAAAAGACAGGCTAGTTCCTGACATCAAACTCTTCGCTAAATTTATGGTGTGGTTTTTCATACGACAGGTGTGGGGTGACCTGTGGAACAATGTCTTCATGAGAACTGGTGCAGGAGCTGCATGACCACAGCCTCAGTGACCACTTTTGGTGCCAGCCCTCAGTAAAGGCAGGTAGCAGAGTATTCAGTCCGTGGATCCTGGTAAGGTTACGTACCACAGGGCTCTTTGCACAATCACAAACTACTACGATCTGTTCAACGGAGAATAACCAATGACACCACTGTGTAAGATAGTGCATTACTTTATACTGAACTTGAATATGGACAAGGAGTAGCAGGTCCAAGGATTTAACAATAAATTTTGGAAGAAATTTAAAAATTTTTAAATGTTAAATTCTATCCATTGAGGTCATGTATTTTACTGAAAATTGGGGAAAACTAGGTTTCAGTTGAGGAACATCTTTTTTTTTTAATAGAGGTATAGTCAGTTTAACAACTTTGTGTCAATTTCTGGGGTACAGCACAATGCATCGGTCATACATGAAAATACATATATTCATTTTCATATTCTTTTTCACCATGAGCTACTACAAGACACTGAATACAGTTCCCTGTGCAGTTGCGGAACATCCTGACACAGCCATAGAAGAGAAGTGGTCATAAGATGAGATTACAAGTGGGAGGATAGGGCTCCTTGATGCCTCCGTTGTTGTTGGTGGGAGTGTGACTGAAGTTTGGCAGTCAAAGCAGGGAACGAGGGGCTGGCCAAGCCGGAGGAGACGAGAGCTGGGGGCTTGCTGCCCTTCAAGTCCCTGGCACGAGCGAGGGGCCATCAGCAGCCAAAAGCCAGCCTCCTTCCATAGAAGGGAGTGATGCCTTGCCATGCCGTCGTCTAGGTATTCTGCTTCTTACCCTGCCGTTGGGCCTAAAAGCAGCAAGACAACGTGCTTTCTGTATTTCTAAGACGGGGTAACTTAATGTAGCATTTCTCAAGCTTTGATCAGGAAAAATCTTTGCTGGCAGTGCATCTATGAGTGTCTCCAAAACAGTGTTCCTCATGACACATTGGTCTAATGTAATGAGGTAAATAGGTAAATAAACTCTGGCCAATGTCCAAGATAAAGAAAATAATCCTTGTATTATGCTTTCATCTTGCTTTCAATTTTACATGCTCATTTCTGTTTAAACAAGGCTTTCTGATTCACTGCAACTCTGTGCAAAAAGGTATATTTGCATTTCAAAGTCTTATGTTTCCCAAGAAAGCCAAATTCTGAAAACACATTTTGCTGTGATAAAGAATTTTCTGAAATTATAAACCTAAACATAATGTACAATGAATTAAAAAGTTCCTTCTTACCATGGAATTAGCCACGAGAGACCCAAGATTTCTTTTTATACAATCTTGCCTGTGGATCCACTGGGCAACTACTTAACCACCATGTTATGTAGTTATAACCCTGTGTTAAAGAAATACATATAGTTGTACGTATATGGGTGGGCTCGTGGGTAATAACTATAGGGTATCTGTCCTTCAGGAGTATTAACAGTTTTCCTCCATCTGGGTGACTGCCAAATCGCTTCCTATGTACATTTCAATCTTGCCATCTGAAAAATAAAGGTGTCAGATTATAGTGTTTTTAATACTTCCCCAAAGATGAGAATCCCTGGAAGTAGTGGTTAGGAATTGAGATTTCTAAACCCTCTGGACTTCTAATTAAATAGAGTTAGGTTGTTTATTATTTTGTTTGCTTGCTTCTATGCTTGCTTGTTCATTTGTTTATTTTTAAACAAAGACTCTAAGTCCTTATCTCCAAGGAAGTTGATAACTTGATTAGATGACTCAGGGACTTTCCATGTCTGCCATTTCTGTAATTCTATGATTCACCAGAAGCTACTGTAGTTAACGCCTTGGGAAATGTCTTTCTTAGGTTCTCCTCAAAAAGGAGAGGCATCCAGATAAGTCTGTATGAAACAGATATCTACTTAGAAGTCAAGAAGATAAGCCCCATGAGAAACAACAAACCCTAGTTACGCTGTGCCCATTAAAACTCTGAACACTTTTCCCAAAAGCTCTTCTGATGAAACAGATATCTACTTCTCATAAGTCAACAAGATGGTAAGCCCCATGAGAAACAACAAACCCTAGTTATGTTGTGCTTATTAAAACTGTGAACACACTTCCCGTAACTCTTCTCTTAAGCTAGTGTCCCACACAGGGTCCTAGTGCCTGTCTTCCTCCTCAAACCTCAGATTGATAACTTTCAACATCCAGAATGTGTTGAGAACATCATAACTCTATGAATGGCTCTCGAGGTAAAGAGGGTGGTGACCTGTGGTCAAACCTCAAACTCCTACAAACACCAAATCTTGTCACTCACTCTTGCTTCTGTGGAAGCCAGTTGGTCCCTCTGAGATGGACCTAATCATTTCTGGGAACTGGTTTTCCAACAGTTCTTTGAGATAGAAGACAAAAAGCTAAAATTTCCTGTAATTTTTTAGCTTCTCTAAAAGGAAATCTATAGGAGATCTTCCAAACACAGTCATTTCAATTTTAATTTTTAAAATTTAAGTTTCACCTGCCCCCATCCAAATCAGCGATTTATGTGGGGATGAAAGCAGCATCACATTCTGTTCCCAAAAGACTTTGGAATCTCTTTCTCTGAACATCTTTAAGAACAGTGTTGATCAGTGTGAGAGAAAAGAACTGATACTGGGGGAAAAGAAATACAGATATAAGTCTGATGAGATTAAGTGAAAATCCTAAAGTCTCAAATCTGAAATAGAAGTATCAGTTTGAACTCATAATATATTTTATCTTAAAAAAAAAAAAGAAGTATTTGCTAGCTCTGTCCATGGAGGAGGCTTAGAAGCAAATTAACTAACCAAGTAGAATAACGACACACAGTACACAGATTGTGATCTTTCGATTCTATTTTCCACCAAAAGGAACAAGGGCTGCTTGAAGAAGTGAATGGTTCCAAATCTGGGGCAGATAATTACAAGATGAATTTGATTGTGTGGGCTTATGCATACTAAAAAGCAAGGAAGTAGGGAGGGTATAGCTCAGTGGTAGAGTGTGTGCCAGCATGCACAAGGTCCTGGGTTCAATCCCCAGTACCTCCATTAAAATAAATAAATCAAAGCCTGATTACCTACCACACCCCTCAGAAAAAAAAAAGCAAAAAAAAAAAAAACAACCAATTTTTTAAAAAAAGCAAGGAAACTATCAAAGACCACTAGGGTTGTGTCAGAATGACTCAGGAACTAACTTAAAGAGGAACCTACTAGTCAAAGATGGGACAATTTGAACACTAATAAGAGTAATCACTGTAATATATTGAAACTGCCAAAAATATTAAAAATCCATGAATTCTCATTGGTGTTTAAATTTTCATTGGTCAAAAAAAAATGCACTGGTCATATTTGGAGGATCCTAGGGAACCAGCTCATTCTTTTGAACATTGGTAAAAATAGAGGAAAAGAATCAAGCACTTAGCCTCTTTCCTATACGATCTGTATTTCAGCCAATTAGTATATTAGGAGAAGCTAAATACATTATAAAGAAATAATATAATTTGACTATCGCCCGTTTACATTTGCTAATGGACCTATATAATGATCATCGATAGTTGCTAATATCACAAAAAATAAACAGCCAGACTTTATGCATCTCCTGATGGAAATGTACACCATCTAGGAAGTATTCTTGCCAAAAAATTCAAATTGGAATCCGATTAAGTCTCTAGATTTAACCATGAATTTACAGGATATGTAGGGGTCAGAGAAAGATGAAATGAGGAAAATACAGACTGTATGGAAAACTCTATAAAACACTGACCCGGTTTCCTCAATGAATAAATTGCAAGGAAAAGAAGAAAAAGGAAGGAAGGTGACTTTTAGGTTAAAATAGGCTTAAACATATAAACTGTTCAGAACATGGATTTCTTCTGATCCTCATTCTCACTAAAAATAGCAAACAATTATGATACAATCAGGGAATTTGAACACAGGCTGGATATATAATGATACTAAGGACTATTAATTTTTAAAAGTGTAGAAATGGTTCTGGTTATATTAAAAAATAATTCTTATATTTTAAATATTCATATCTATTTATGGGGAAATGATATAATGCCTGATATTTGCTTCACAGTGATCTAGTTTGAGGGGAATAAAGGGTACAGAGGAAACTAGATGGGTTAGGAGCTGATCACTGTTAAGCTGGAGACGATGGTTACACGGGGGTTCATTATGCTCTTCTCTCTACTGATGTGTACAGCAAAATTTCCCCATAATAACAACAATAATTGGTCATACCAAGAGATAGGACTGATCATTCCCTCTGTTGGAAGGATTCACCTTGCACGTTCTTGAAGGTGGCCAAGGTCACCCTTTGTTCTTATTCCTGTGGTTTGAGCTCTGCATGGACATGGCAGAAGCTGGATGACCATGCTCTGCCCCTTATACCATATCGAGGTGTTTCAAGGTAAGTGATTTGAATAAATATTAAAAAGCAACATGTTCTAACATCTAGTTATTGTACAGTTACTTGAGGTGGGGGTGGGAAGCCACAGAAGATCACAATATCAGGCAGCAGAACACATTTTCCCCCCAAACTCAAACCATCTTCACGTGTCCTTCTGAGGCCAGAAAGACAATCCTGGGCTGTTGGCCAGCCCCTCCCTGTTCTCAGGAGGGGCCTCTTTCCCCTCATTTCTTTATAAAGAATGGAGAAGAGCAGGAAAACCCTGGAAAACATTATGCATCTTTGGCAAAAATAAGATAAAAACATACTGTGTCAATTTCTCGCAGACCTGGTAGTCAGACCCTCATTTTATTTTCAGATATGTGAGAGAATCTTTTGTTAAATAGATACTCAGCCTAGCACAGAGGGGAGAAAACAGGACACACTGTAGCTAGGTTGTAAATAGACTTACCCCTTGGGTCACCGGGC